GGGAAGCAGAGGGGCTACTCCGGAGCCCCCCACTCCCCTCTGAACCGCAACGGAGCCAAGGACACCATCTCATCGCACACCACGGGAGTGTATTCGGGCGGGATGAGGGACGCTGGGGCTCTGGGGCCGGGTCTGGAGGGAACAGGGGACATCCTCATGGGGCTGCTGATGGCTTTCTGTCCCCGGTGGTGCCCCGGTGATGGTGGCACTGGGCAAGGGCTGAAATCCCTCCCTGCTTTGCACAGAGCCATCTGTTTTCTCCAAACCGGCACTCAGCCTTCACTTCTGCTTTGGGGTTGTCGCTTAAATCCTTCCTGCGGCCATCGTAACAGAGAGGAAACCCTCTGGCCCCCCGTACGCTGCAGGGCGGCCAAGGGGGGCTGCGTGGGCAGCACCGGGTTTTGGGACCGGGACTGATGCAAACCGGGGAGGGACCACCTCCCCAAGCCCCCTGCGTCCGTCACGTCCCCGCACGTGTCCCGTGCCCCGCGGTGCCGGCTCGGCCCCATCTGTCTCCCGCTGTCAGCCGGGCCGTGGCCGCGGGGCTGGTATCGAGCGGGGAGATGAGGAGGTGCGAGAGGCGGCGCTGACAGCGGGGAGGAGGATGGAGGGGGGCTCAGCCCCTGGCAGGAGCGGACCTGCCAAGGGCTCATCCGCAGCATCGCACCGCGCTCTGCAGCTGATTTTTCTGCTGGAGAGAAAAGGAAAGGCAAGGATGGGGCCCTGGAAGGGTTTGAAACACCAAACGCTGCCCCAAGCGTGGGGGCTTGCTCCCAGAGGTGCACCGTCAGGGAAGGGCAGCCTCTGGCTCCGAGTCTGTAAAACACCCATTCTCGGCGTCCGAGGTGATGTCTGACCCGACTCCGTTTTGTGCGGCTTCTCCTCGCCGAGGGCGGAGGTGGAGCCTGGATCCGGCTGAACTCTGGTGCGAATCCGTGTGCCATTTACTTTCCTTTTGTGTTTGGCTCTGGGAGGTTTCAGCCTGCTGCCCCACTCGCTGCGCAGCAAAGGGTGGGGGTCAGGGCTTTCTGCGTCTAAGCTGATTCCCACTCTGCAAAATGCATCGTCTGACCTTATCCCACAGGGATTTCTGCTGCCCTTGGCACTCAGCTTTGCTGGGCGTAAAAAGGCTGTAGGAAGAGGTTCACCACATCTCCTGTTGGGCTCGGGAACCTCCATCAGAGCCATCGGAGACAGGGCCAGCCCTAGCACTTTCCTTCGTCCCTTCAGAAGGGCCCTTTTCCCCACTTGCTGCCCCTTTCAGTCCTTCTTCATGCTCCTTATCCGATCCTTCCCATCACCTTCCTTCCAGTTTTGGGCACCTCTCCCTCAGGCTCTCGTTTGCCCTTTTGGCTGGTGCGTTTCCAGCCTGATGGGTGGAAGAAGGTAAATGTCATCACCAAGACGGAGGGCACAAGGACCGCGGGCTGCCTCAGTCCCCAGCAGGATTAAGAGGCAAATCCCCCTAGAAGCCCTCTCCAGGCAGAGGAAGGACAGGAGGGTGGCCGTGAGTACCCAGCATGGATGTACCAAGGGCAAGTCATGCTTGACCAGCCTGAGCGCCTTGGCTGATGAGATGATGGCTGTGTGGATGGAAAAGAGAGCAGTGGATGGCATTTACCCCAACTTTAGCAAGGTCATCACAATCTTCTATTGGCTCCTTGCAGCCAAACTCGTGAGCTCTGGTTTGCAAACAAGGAATTTAAGATGGGTAGAAAGGTGGTTCATTGTCCGTGGTGCTTGGGACTGCTGATGGACCCTGTTACCAGCCCTGGCTCAGCCCCTGCGGGACTGTGCCCCATCGGCGAGGTCCCCCTCAGCTCCCTGGCGTGATAATGTCAAACACGGCACTTGTGGAGCTGATTCTGTGTCTGAAATGTTCAAGAAGTGGATGGGAAAATGGGGTGTTGTTCTGCGGTTTGCTCTGAAGAGAGCCCAGAGCTCTGTTGTTCACTCAAGCTGAGGCCATCTCCTCTGCGTACACTTCTTCGTCAAACTAAGAAGTGCAGAGAAAAGATAATGACCTGCTTTGGGCTTTGTCACTTTCCCGGGGCTCAAAGAGATCCTCGGTCCCCAAATCCCCAGATTATGTGAAAAAGTAAGGGTGTTTGCTGATGGTGGTTTATCTTCAAGCTCCCCTGCAGAGCTTCAGGCACACGCGTCTTCACATCCATCTCCAAGAGCGTCAGGAGGGAAGCAGAGATAGTGCTGAGGTGTAACTGAGGGTCATCATCTTCCAGCCCAAGCTGGAGCTCCAGTACCAGATTCACGAGCAAGGACGGTGCATGCTGAGCCACCCATCTCCTGTAGTTTTCTCTTGCAAAAAAGAAACAGCTCCTATCTTCATCTCATGCCCTACCTGCAGGGTCCTGGGCTTCAGTTCTTCATGATACTCTGGACTTCCCACCAAAACCAGGGAGCTGGCTGTCCTGTGTCCTCACCACACAACTGCTGAGAAGGGAGGTCTGGAGATCCCCCAGTTGGAAAGCACGCTCAGGAGGCTTCTTCTCCCCATTGACCACATCTGGTCCTGGATGAGGACCAGAAGCTTTCCTGTAAAGAACATTTAGGGAGCTTACTGTTGCTGAGATGAGGCAGGTCCAAAAGATTATTTTTTTCCCCCAAATATATTCAAGGAGGGATCGCTCGGCTTTGGGGGTTGCCCATTTCCATTTGAAGCCCCTAGGAACAGGCTAAAGACCTAGGAAAAGTTGTTACAGCTAAAACAGTGTATCAGGAGGGAGGGGGAACCGAGATGAACCTCCGTGTAAGGTTTCATAGTTAGGAAGAAGTCCCAGCAAAGAGGGAGGAAGCGGGTGGTTGGCAAATGCCACCGAGAGGACGAATAATCAGCTCGGCACTGTAAAAGCATCGTGTTTCTCTGTGTTTCAGGTCGAGCTGGATGATCTCCGAGTCCCAGGCTGAACGCTAACAAAGGGGATGAAATACAGCAGCAAGGTGAAGCTACTTGGGCGCGTGACCTCCCTACAGCTTTTCAGGAAGGTGGTTGCTGAACGTCCAGAAGTGAGCCGGAGGACCACACACCACGCTGTGCCGTGGGATTTTACAGCTCGAGCAGAGCTTTGCTGTTGCAGCACCCCATGTGTTTTACCCGCACTGCGATACGACTTTTGGCAAGCTGGTTCCAGTTGATCTGTGCCTAAACTCTTCCTTTAGATCTTGTATGATTGTCTCCGAGCAGGTCCCACTGGAGACAGGGCTTTCCACCTGGGAGATACCTGCCTGTTGCAGAAGAAACCTCCAGCAGGGAGTTCACACAGAAAGCACGCGTCCAGCTAATGGCAGAAAGCAATTGCTCCCAGGCGATTTGAATGAATTCAGCTTAACGGGGTTCACAGAGGGCCCAGTGACTCAGGTCACCCTCTTTCTGGTGTTTTTGCTCACCTACCTTGTCACCATCCTGGGGAACCTTGGCATGATTGCGTTAATCAGGGCCAGCCCTCAGCTTCACTCCCCCATGTATTATTTCTTGGGTAACCTGGCTTTTGCAGACCTCTGTTCTTCCACCATCATCACCCCCGAGATGCCGGTTGACTTTACGTCAGAGAAGAAGGGCACTGCTTATGCTGGGTGCGTGGCTCAGGTGGTCATTTCTGATCTTTTTGGGACGACCAAATGCTTCCTGCTGGCTATGATAGCGTATGACCATTACATGGCCGTCTGCCGTCCCCTGGTGTATCTGCTTGTCCCGTCCCCAAAATGCTGTTTCCAGCTGGTGACTGGGTCATATCTCATGGGGTTGACAAATGACATGGGACAGACTACTGGCACAACCAATTTATCCTTCTGCAGCTCCAGCGTCATCGACCTGTTCTTCTGTGACTCCTCTGATATCACTCTCAAGCTCCAACACCACCCTCAGACGCATATAAGAACGTCAGCATCTTGGTTCGGTGTGGCCAGCAGCCTGGTTGGCCTGGTCTCCCATGTGGCCATCATCTCCGCCATCCTGAGCAACAGTTCAGCCGAGGGCAAGCACAAAGTCTTCTCCGCCTGTGCCTCCCATCTCACCGTTGTGAGGATCTTCTACGGGACATCGCTTTTTACGCACTTAAAGCCCAGCTCAGAGAGCTCGAGAGAAGAAGATAAACGGGCTGCAGTGCTCTACACTGTGGTGACTCCCATGCTGAACCCCTTGATCTACAGCCTGAGGAATACGGAGGTGAAGGAGGCTTTGAGGAGACTCACAAATATCAAATGATCTTGAATGTTGTAGATTTATGGCCAGATAGAATGGAGATGTGGGTGATATTCTCGGGTTTTGATTAAATATCTCGGATAGATTGATAACATTTTGTGGGTCTTCTGCACTTTGACTTAGAAGCTGCACTGGCTGATTCAATATCCTCAGCTGGTTCAGGATACTAATAATTTCACTAAGTTCTCCAAACATCGATAATTATATTTAGTAGGTAATTTAACCTAATGAAGGCACAGGTGGAGAACTACAAGCATTGCGCTACTCCTCATTTAAAATTTGGCCCTGTCCCATTTATTCCATCCTGTGTATCAGGCCAAATTAAGCCAGAAGAATGAGGCAAAAATTTCTGCAATTGGTTGGGCTCAAAAGGACGAGCTGTGTCATGTGTTGCTCTCCCTTTTGCTTAGCAAATCAGAATAAACAGGGGGTGAATTCTACTGTTCCACTAAATGAAATTCCATTTCAGGGCAGTGTTGTAAAGTCAATAAGGGCCATAATAACCAGCCTCAGGATGCCAACACCTTCAGCAAGAAAAATGTAGATGACAGCAAGTAGCTGGTATGCCACGCAGGAAATATTTTTTCTTTTTCATACTCAAACCTCATTCAATGATTAACAGCACCGTACATCTCATTTCTTTTTAGACAGCTAAAAATGTAAGTTAAGCACGGTATTCGGGTGACCTCTACTGTGAATGAAGGCACTCTGAAAGCATTTTAAGATGCAGTAGTGAGGAATCTCCCCAAAGGCAGATACTGTCAAGCAGCCCCTATCCACTGCTCCACACCTTTGCCTTCCATCTCCCTGCTGACAGCGATAAAAGCCATGATCTCCACGGTACCCCGACCAGAAGAGATCACAGGACCTGTGGTCTCGCTCAGCAGCCTCCTCCTTCAGACCCGATATTTGGCAGCCCATGCCAGCCTGCGCTGATGCCGTTGCCTGCCCCGACGTCTCTCCTGCCGCCTTCCTGCAGAGATAGCTGCCGGGTGGTGCACAGACGTTGCACACATGAAAAAAGCAAAAAAACCCTCCGATTTGTGTATTACCTCAGCCCGTACAGGCTGCAGCCTCTGTCAGGGCCACGGCGAAATCTGGAGCGACGGCTTAGCCCCAGCTCTATCCTCGAGACGTGCAATAACTTGGGTTGGAGGGAGAAGCTGCTCAGTTGGGTTAAATCAAGTCAGGATCAAAGCGGTTTGCTGGTTTATTAACGACACACAACTAACAGGCACCCAGGGTCAACCAGCTGAATCCTTCTTTGTTCCCAAAGCTTCCTGACAATTCCCTGGTTATTATTTAATCCAGCCAACGGTCGGCTGCCTGTCTGGCACTGCCAGCCTGGGGCAAACACCATCCCAGGCTGTTTGTGCTCCCGTTCCTCTCCTATCAGCTGTGCTGCTGTGAGGGCCTGTGCTGGCCCCCCCATGGCAGGCACCCTGGGAAGTCTCCAGTACGGCCACCCACACCAACCAGGGCCAAGTCAGACCCCGTTGTCCCGCTGAGCCTTGGGGACCACCCAGGGCAGAGGTTTCACACCCTCCCTGGCCCCTGTTTCAGCGTTTGACCACCCTTATGGAGTTTTTTTTCCCCCCCTTTGTTTCTAACTGGGATTTCCCATGTTGCAAATTCACGACAGAAAGTCTCAGATTTATCCTTATCTGCAATACGAAGCACGTGGAGCACTTGCTGGCGCGCGATCGTAAGCGAGCAGGGTTCATCTCGCGTCTCTCCAGACGTGTTCATCAGGACCTACTCCTGAATCGGGACCTCTGCGTACAATTCCCGCTGTTCTCCCACACTTCTGCTCCTCTGCGACCGTCACCCTCAGGACGCTGTTTAATTTAGGTGCAGGGAAGATTGCTACCTTTTTCTTCAAATAAGACTCAAGATTATTTCTAATCTTTTATTTACAGTCCCAGAGCGTCTCTTCTTTGAGGCCGCACCTCAAATACTGTGTTCAATTTTGGGCCCCTCACTACAAGAAGGACGTTGAGATGTTGGAACGTGTCCAGAGAAGGGCAACGAGGCTGGTGAG